CTCACAGAGAAGACAGGCTAAAGGGTGACCTCTGCTTTGAAAGGACAGGCAATTTTATCATGGATACCATGCCTTGAGCCTCAGTTCTTTCAACACATCTTATTCTCAGCATCTGTATACAATATAGGACAAGATCTTAAAATCCTAGGATCCTGGGATAAAGTAACTTTTTTTCCTCTCAATAGCTAAGGTCAGGCTCCCCAGGAGAAAGGGGAGTTTGTAAAATATTTCAAAAATCTGCATATTAACTTGCAGCAGTTGAAAACATATAAAATAGCTGCTATATCTTTAGGAGCAGCAGGACTGTGTGGCTCTAATCAGGGCATTTTATCTGAATGAAAGACCAAATTACACACCCCAGTCCACAGAAATCCGCAAACAAAGTCAACAGCAGAAAACTTCATGTTCAGTAAAAACCATCCATTGTCAAGTGTAACAAAGTAGGAGCAAAGTATATGTTAGAACTGAATTTCTGGCTATAAAACATCATCTTAAGCCAACTTCTTATCCAGCAGTTTTGCCTGCAGGATGTAGATGGCATCAGGAGTGTAGTGAATTGAAACCTGTCTCATGCTCTCTGAATACATTCAAATTATTATTGCCAGAAGTGAGAACAGCACAGCAACCTACTGCTACACAAGCATGTCAAAGCCAGGCTTTATAATCTTTTGCTTCCTGAAAGTAATATATCATTCCAAATAAAATTATATCATCCCAAATACAATTAGCACAGAACAGGCTTATTACCAACAGAAGCACAATGCAATCTAGGTATTTTTATTCCCAGCACACAAAGAAAGAACAAAAGTTCTGATTTAAATTTGGCTTAATCGCTTCAGTGAAAAATTGTTTGCAGAACTTGAGAAACCCTTAAATGCTCATTGCAGATGTTGGCTTGCAGGACCAGAAATTCACATTCATAATAAGAGGTTTCCCTGAAGGTCTATGGTTTGTGGCACTTGAAGCAGATATTTACCAAGTGAAATTCTGGTCCTACTGGAGTTGGTAAAGGCTTTGCCATTGATTTCCATAGGGCCCCATCACTCTCACTCTAACAAATAATAACCAGAAGCACCTTTTAATATCTACTTTTTACTGCAATGTACTGTAAGATACTGTATATGCACTGCATTAAATGCAAGTGGTAAACTTTGATATCAGGAGACATTTGTGCTCTGAAATAGATAAAGTAGCAAGAGGAAATGCCAGTAGTCCTCTGAATTTCCCAAGTGAATCAAACTTTAAACCATGCTTTCCTTAAGAACAGTAATTACATTCTTACCCTAAAAAATGTTACTGTCCCTAAATAAGCCCTGCAGTCATGTCATCAAAGGGTCACTGACTGAACCTTCCAGGATGGGGAAATCAACTGGTTAATCACTTCAAGTTGTGGGAACTCTGATCCCAACCACACAAGAATGGAATGATCCCAAGCAGCACTACAGGCCAAACTAAATTGGAAGGGATTTGTTTTCTCCAATGATTTACTTAATTACTTTTCAAATTAAGCTAGCTATTCAGGTAATTCTAGAAACAACCTCAAGGTCTGAATACTCTGTGGCAAAACAGATGTGAGCTCTGGGAGGGAGCTGTGTGGGTGCCAGGCTTACAGAGAGCTGCAGCAGCAGCCAGGTGTCTGTTCCCTGCGGACAGAGCACCTCGGATCAGCTAACTTGGGTTTTGTATCCGTGCTCCACTGGGGGTTTGTTTGTAACAGATCAAGCAGACTTGCTATCACAGACGTTACAGGGCAGAAATCAAAGGTATTGGCGGAGCAACAGGCTCTCTGTTCTGCCTCTGAGACTTGGGAGAAATGAAAGGAAGGTTCAACACCCACTGGAGACTCCAATGTGCTCCAGCAGAGCTCAAACTGCCACACTCTTTGCACAGAACCAGGCAACTTGTTCTCAGCACCTACTGCACAGACCTCCCACTTCTGGACATGCCCTCAAAGACAACCCAAACCAGCGCAACTTAGAGGCACAGTGCAAAGGCATCACTTTGGAGTCCTGGAGCACTTGGGGAGAGCAGAGTGCCCTGCAACGCTAAATGACTCCTGAAAACCATGGCTCCTTAGAAGTTAAGTAGTAAGGAAAAAATTAAAATGACCAAGCTACTATCTGAAGAAAGAAATGGTGAAGAGCCTTGCCTAACGAGGGATGTTGGCTGCTGATGCCTGGCAGAGCTGGGAGACAACACTGCTTCAGTTCAACAATTCTTTAGTCACTCTTAATGGCATATTTCTTCTTGTTTAAAAATTACATTAGAGATTCCCCTGGCAATAGCAGAAAATTAATTTCTCTAGATTCCCAAAGTGAAAGCCCTGCTTCTTGTATGGATTCAGCTGATCCAAATACTACTTTATTTTCCTCTCTCCTCCTTAAAAAAGAAAAAGAAACCCCACACAAACTTCAACTGTAAATATGCATACCTGCAAGCCTTCCAAGGCAAGGAAAGAAAATAAAATTTATGAGATCATGGAAAAACTCAGTCTTACAGGTACTAAACACTGCCAGAAGAAGACACAGAGCATAAGAGCTTTGCTCTCCAACCTTGCACCTTCAGAAGCCCTGGCTGAGTCCTACCAAATGAGAGGCTCGGGTAGCCCTAGCAAATGCCATTTTCTAGAAAATCCAAGGAACTCAGAGCACAGATCCTGTAGTGCAAGTGAGAACACATAAAAAAAATCTGTTGCAATTTAGCACATGCATCCAGGAGAAATGCTAGGTTATGTGGTGCTACACAGAGAGCAGAAAACACATGGAAAGAGGATCCAGTGACATCAGGTGGAAGGGATCTCCGGACATCCACAGTCCCACCTCCCACTCAGAGCAGGACAATCACCAATACCAGAACCATCCACTCCCTGGAACTTTTAACTGGATGATTCTTGTTCTTTTGTTACGTTATTTGGCTGCTTATTAACTGTTTGGGAGTGTCTGCATGGCAAACAGCCAGAGAAGGAACAAAACCTATCATCTCCAGGCCTTGGTTCCTAAGTTGGACAAGAGAAAGCAACACAAGTGAACTGAGGAGGAAATCAGTCCCCACTCAGCTCCTAATCATCAGTGAAAAGGGAACTGTGGTCCAAAGAAAATGAAGTCAGCAGTCCTCAGGAGGAGGTGAAAGGGCACCTCCCTTGCTGGGGCCCTGCTGATGGCACCCCTCGGGCTGTGCAGGAGTCCTTTCTTCTGCACTCACAAAAGAATCCAAGCAAGTCATTTAAAAGTGCCTCAGGGCAGAGCTCGCCACCAGATCAGGTCTGCCCCGTTAAGATAATAAATGAGGTAATGCATAAAACTGCCTCTGATTTGAGGACATTTCATTCATAAAACAGAAATACCAACAGCTTTGCTACCAAATAAACTTCAAAGCTGGGTTTAAAAAGTCTCTGCATCTCTCCCTGCAGTAGAGCAGAGCCAAGCTGTAGAGATTCTGTGGCACAAGACACACTGTTTTCAAGGACAGCTCTGCAAGCTGAAATGAGAGCTGACAGCTTCCAGGTCATTAACCTGACAGCATAAACAGGACCTATGTACAAGCACATGCATTCAGGTGGACTGGAGCAATGGCCCCGAAGTGCAGACCTAGACAAACACTATTCAGCTTTTTGTTCTGAGTTTCCAGAAAAACTTCTATTCTCTACTCCCTTCTCCTCATCCTCAGGATATGTGGAGCCTGGTGCTGGCTATATTTGTGTTGCTAGCTGAAAGAACAGCAGAACATGCCAAGCATTTAATAACAAAATTCCAGCCTTGTGACACAACCCAGTAATCCCAAGACTGGAAACTAACCTCACATTTCTACTCAGCATAAAGCCCTAATCCTAATAAGAGCACCACTAGTTTTATTTTGCCTGAACCTTTTCTAAAGACATGCATCTCACAAATTAAAAAAGTTACTATGTACCAGGTGGAACGGGGCTGTATGACCTATGTACCCACTGCATCTACAGATTGGTAAAGTTATGACAACACAGAAACTGCTAAAACTAGTCAGGCTTATCTGTGTGCTCTTACACAGAACAGGTTATAGCTGGATGAGCTGTTGTCGTGGCCACTGCTGGTCTCCCACTACCTTGGGACCCCTCTCAGAACACTCCTAAGACAAGGAAATGGAGATTTGCAGGGCCCTGGGGGGACCATGGCTGAGTGTGAACATGCATATAACAGTGCTCATCTAACACTCCAGCTGCAAAATGGCAGGGCAGGAGGCTCAGCAAGCCAAGACCCCAGGTTCAGTTTATCTAATGGCTTATCAAGACCCTTGCAAAAAGGAGGGAACAAACTCCTCCAACCCCAGGTTGGTGTTTCAGCTACTGTTTGCCTTGATCATTTCCATCACCACATCCTAAGCAGCTTCTCACTACTGCAGCTGTCCTTGCTTCAACACCAGTGGGGCCTGCAGTTCGCAAAGTGTCATCAAACACCTGGAATTACATTTTATAACACCTTTTACTGTCACTAACTGCACTGCAGATGTGAGGACATGCCTGACAAAGCTGCAGCACAAGTCTATGCTGTATCGAAGCACAGACAGCAGAACTGCTCATCTGTCTCAACTTACAAATCACAAAACAGCAGAAAAATTGTGCTGCTGCACCTGTACAGCTGCAAGATGTGACACATAAAACTGCAAATGCAAAAGTTCTAGGGGAAGATAGAAACAACACTATGTTAAGCTAACAGAAATAATTTGTGCACAGGGTACATTTATTCCTATACCGAGAAGAAGCACAAAAGGCTTATACACCTATTAAATAGCTATAATGTGTGTTTAACCACAGGGTTCATGCCATGTTGTGCTGTCTTGCACCAGAACCATGATGTTTTCTGCAAAGCTCTTTGCATTTCCAACTGTGATGGGCATATTTTGCAAAGACCATGATCTGGCCATGTACAGAAGCATCACTTCAGAAGAAAAATTTAGCTTCAACCTTGACCAAGTCACATTTTGTGGACACAAATAAGAGGCCAGTGTTACACAACCACTACACTTACTCTGCGGAATGACACCACGTAGAAAGTATCTTCCCTTCGGCGAATTGCTTCAAAGAAGTCTTGATAGCTCCTTGGAGAGGCATAATACACTTGCAGCTCATTCCCTGAGTTCCTGCTGAAATAAAGAAAGGGGAAAGGTAATTATTTTAGACAAGAAAGTTAACTTCAGTGAGACAAGGACTTTAAAAGACCTGCTTTTCCAAGGAATGGCAGCTCTTCATTCATTGAGAGAAGCATGAGGAACATTAAACACAGGTGAAGACAGTGAAACTACTGGGTACTTTCTGAAAGTTCAAGGTGCTTTGAAGGTCTTACTTTAGGAAGGTTTTCCAGGCTTGTTTTTATTCATGGTTCTGAGGCTGGCAAAACCCCATCTACTAGCTCAACAGAAAAAAAAAAGTTTCAACCTGAAGTGTCTGAAAAATTGTGATGACTTCTGAAAATAAATTTTAGAATGTAATGTCCTTCTGAAATATCAAAACATTTAATAATTTTCTTTTACTGATAAGAATCCAAACCACTGAAATTGAAAGAAGTGCAAAGGTAAGCATAAACAGAGCTTTTAATTTACTGTCAAATGACAACTCCACTTTTTCTCTCACCCACCTTTTAATTTTTTTCCCCTTGTCCTTGGTCAACTCAAAGATTACCTCTTGATTTTCAATTCAGATAGTGGAGCAAAAATAAGATATTTGCATAATTCTGGCTTATCATATCCACAGTTCTCATCTTACATATATCAGACACAAGGAAAAGATGCCCTAAACCATTCTAAGCAAAAATACTGGCAAGTCCTACAATCACGGTACTTATCCACTGTTTATCTTGGAAAGGTGAGAAATTCCTGGCACATACTGCTATCGTGTATATTTCCCCAATCCCATTCCAAAATAACATATTTAAACAAATTGGAAGGCTATACTTACACAAACCATTATCTGGACATTCAACCAGTCATTTTATCTTAATAGCACACTGTGTGTTTGCAGTGTTTGTGGCAAGGACGCTGATCAGACCACCCCTCCCCTCCCAAGCTGTCTTCTGCTGACCCAGGTTTTAAACTATGGTGGCTAATTTAGACTATTTTGATGTGTTTCTAAAATATGACCACGCACCCAAAACAAGGCACAAATCTATCATCAAGTGATTTTCTCAAGCAGCAGTAATAGCAGACTGTCATTATCTTCTCTTCTACTGTTAACATAGTCCTGCTGCAACTGAAGGACTGCAGCTGCCAGGCCAGTTGCCCTTTAACAGGATTGGGGGTGTAAGTCCTGGGGGATCAAGAGCAGGCAGCTCTACACTACATATCCTCTTCTGCAGAACTATGCAAGCAAGGAATCAGATCACATCCTTCACACACAGGAAACAAAGACTGGAGCTAATTTGAGCTTGATTACTCATTCATGAAAACACGTAGGCCCACCAAGCCACCCCTGAGATTCAGCATTGAAGTTGTACTGTGATAAAAGGCATCACGCCCACGTGTTGCTCAGCACAACACGTCCTGAAAGCTGAAACGGGCCCCACAGATCCGTTTGCTCGCCCACACTCCAGAAGATGCAGCTAGACCCAAAAACTGGCCTTTTATAACTCTAAATCCAGGCATGGGAGAAAACTGTTCCAAAGCACTTGGAAACCACTGGGCCTTCACAAAGCTCTCCTGGTCATGGAACAAATCTAACACTAGTCCCAGATTCCAAGTGATACCGGGGGATTACAGGCATTACATTGCATCTACCTTTGAACACCCATGGGTAATCGCAATGGACCTCTCCAGGAAAGGAAGGGAGGAACTTCAGAGCCAAAAACAGGTGCAAAAATATCAGTTGTTTCAGTAACACCTTCACATATTACAAGAAAGCATCATATTAAATGTATATCCAAAACAGTGGTGCTGAGTCTGGGAGATAAATGAGTCTTTCTTGTTTTAAAAGTTTGAAGGGCACTGTTGCACATAGGTTCATTTTGAGAAAGGATGAGACTGTGGACACAGGGCTTTATGCATCAACAACCATAATTTCAATAGTGAAAAACTTAGAAACAAGAAAATAACTAGAGAGTTTAATATCGAAAGCCTTAAAATACACACTTGCAGAAGCCTTCAACGAAACCACCTTTGAAGGAAGCTTGATAAACAGATGAGGGGTTTTGATGATTTCCTTTGAAATCATCTTAATTTTTGTCTTCATCCCCTGCTTTGATTTCTCTGCAATTTTTTCAATTAATAAAATTTCTTTTGGAATCCAGGACCAACATGATAATCAGTGCTACAAAGATAAATCTAGATACTGCTAATGTCCTCCTGTCCATGGATTCAGGTCACCAAGCAGGGTGTTCTAGAAGACAAAGGTCACTCAATTTACAGTCACAGCACTGGTATTAAAAATTAAACACCTTGACAGGGGTAATATCAACGACCAAACTACATAAACAGCAGTTTATTCCCAACTGATGAGGCACAAGTGCTGCAAAAAGGAGCTGTGGTGCTCGCAGGGAAGCTGAATGTGAGCCAGCAGGGATCTGGAGGGAAACTGCATAGTGGGCTGCATTATGGACAGGGACTGGAGCACAGGATGCACAAGGAGAGACAGAAGACAGAAGGAACAGGACTTGTTCAGCTCAGAGAAGAGGAGGCTGAGGGGGCTCTAACTGCAATACTCCTGATGGAGACTACAACAGAGATGAGAGACCATGTCTTCTAAGAGAGACATACAGTAAACCTGAAGTTAAACCTACTCTGAGTTGGAGATTGGACTAGAGATCTTCAGAGGTTCTTTACAACTACTCTGTGATTCTATGACTTCATGGAGCACCAAATAGCTGATGGCTCTGGGAGGAACTGGAAATCTGTTCTATGTTCTTAGCAGCTCCAGGACAGTCATAGCATGCAGCTGCCATGACTCACTGGTCTTGTTCATATAAACATCATTAATCTGAAAAAAAAAATTCTCACTTCCTTCTGAGCACAACAGATTATTCCATGCAGAGTTACATGATGTTGCACACTGTTTCCAGTAATCTAGATAATTTTTTTCAAGAGTAATGCAAGCATGTATATTAAACTGCTTTATGCCACGAGGCCTGTTCATCGGTGTTCAATTAAAACAGATATTTTTCATCTACCTGTAGAACTCAAATAGTTTTTTTTTTCTTGTAAGTCAAGACATATCAAAATTTGACAGCCTGGTTTCCATAACACTGGCCTGCAGCTTTGCTGTTTTCCCCCTGGCTGATCCTGCTGACAAAGCAGCAATGCAAACCGAAGGCCCACAGCTGTCTTTCAACAGCAACATTTCAGGTGGTTTTCTCAACAAAAAGTCCCCTTCATAATCCATTTTGGTCTTACACTCCTCTTTGGCACTTCGAAGCAGAGAACCTCTTAAACTGTCTCACACAGAATTCAGGAAAGAGAAATTTTGTTTCCTCAAGTTTTACTCTCCAGTACTTCCTGTCACCAGGGAAGAGGGACAGGATAGTTACGTGGAGGAGGGAGCAGGGGACATCAGGAATCTCTGGATGAGTGTGCTCCAATAATCAGCATGGAAAAATCAAGAGATGGAGACAAACCATGCAAATAAGGCATAATGGTAATTTAACTTCATCCTAATAATTTAGTCCTAGCTACACTGGCTCTGCTCTTGAAGATAGTGAAAGAAACCTTTCTCTCACCAGATTCATGGCCCTTTGAAACTTTCTTATAAACTAATGATGGTCTCACAGTCAATTTGCCCTTTTTTTCCCTAAATATTCAAATCTGATTGGAAAGGGATTCTGCAGAGTGAAGTAAAGATTTTCGTAAGACTTATTGGTAGAAAGACCCCAGAAGAGTGGAGCTGTGATATGGGGGTCCCTTTAAGTGTAGTTTAAATCATTAGAAGCAATTATTTGTTAAGGCACAGAAATTAGGCCAAGAAAAGTAGCTGCATTTGGCTTAAGAATTCTGACAAAGTGATAACCAGCCTTTTTTACCAACTGTTGGTGAAAAGTTGGGTTATTAAGTAGAAAGCAGTAACAAAGGAGCTGTTTTGCCTTACCTGAGTCTGGTGTCTGTGTAAGGCATGGCCATCAGCTGGGAATCTGCCTTCTCACTCAGGGAGTTCTGAAAAAGGGGGAATATGAAAAGATGACACAAAGTGCAAACAATAAGCATTTTCCTGGTTTGCCACTACATAAAATACGTTGCACATCTGTAACAGAGAGTACAGTGGGGTGCAGAGGTTAATCAGTGCCCTGTACCAGAAATGTGCGTTTTTCCACTGGTGAAACATGAATAACTGAAACGGCCAGCAATCAAGCTGGAACAAGAACAACAAAAAAATTTTAATACAGCCAAATTTGAAGTCACACATTCAGAGACAAAGAAGAGAGCCTGGCACCAAACCCAACAGTTGCACAAACTGTGTGATCCAACTAAAAAATTCGCTACCACTGACATCAGATGTGCAGAATTCTTCTGAGGTCACTTAGCACCTCTGCTAAAACAGAGTATTCACAACACGCTTCTGGTGTTTGAAACACTAAAAGCACATGGATTTTCTCTCCTTAACTGTTCTGCCAATCTCCTCTGAACATCAGTGAAAAGAATCTGAAGTTTAACACACAATACCTCTTCCCTAGAAAAGTGAAGTATTTCCCACATTGTTAAGTTCAATTCTTTTTCAATCTGCTACTACCTCTAATCAAATAAAAGACTTTGAAAATTCATTGTCTTCATTTCAGCCTTGGTATCAGTATGCCATGTAGATGAAAGGATTTATGTATATAAAAGGGATTTCAAAAAAAGAGAGAGATGAGCACAAGTCTCGTACTTCTGTAGTCTTACCAAAAAGTAATCCCTCCAGCAAAAATCTGAAAAATGAAATAGAAATATTTCAACAAAATCAATTAGCTGTGCCCCTTAACAGTGAGGCAGATAAATGTGCAGTTGCAACCAACTGCTTATCTTTGCAGAAAAGCCATAAAAAGGCTAACTACTGATTCAATTTTAGAAAATGCTGAACCTATTTTGATCACCGCTAAAAAAATTCAGAACTTCTAGCCTGAATCCAAGAGCAGGAATGGAAGAACAACTTTGACAACATAATAATCAACCAAACCCAGCAATTTAAAATGGGAAGTGTTGGGTACCCTAATTACAGGCACCATTGCTACTTTTGTCTATAATAACAAGTGCAAAAAAGTAAGAGAATATTTCACATTGACTGAAATTATCTTGTCATGCTATTGAGTCATGAGTATAAACCTGTATACCTGCATAACCCGTGCTTTCTGCTGCTGGTTATTTGATAACCTTCTAGATCTTGTTCGTTCCACTTCATGTCTATGAACCCATCCTCGAAGTTCATGATTCAGCCTAGAAAAACCCACAGCATCAACAGATGTTTCAAAGAACAATGGCAGAGATTTTTAGTTCTATAAAACAGTTTAGCCACTATAAAGACACACTGCAGATTACTGTTCTTTTATCTTATGATCATTTATTTTTAATAAAGGAGTAATAAAATAAAGTTGTAAGGTGAAATTTATGAAGGAATTTGTAAGGGAATATCTATAAAGTATTGTACTCATAGATGTTTCAATATAAAGTAGATACAGTAGTTCCTTCTGCTCAATGAACAACAATTTTGAAGTTACTGGAAGGACCATGGAAATTTAAAATCAAAAGTTGATCAAGACAAATTATTGGTTAAGAAGGCTAAACTATGGCAAATAAATCTGAGAGAAAGAAGGGACAAAGAAGATGGAGATAAGGTTAGTGACACATCTATGGAAAAAGTGGAGGTAGGTATTTTCTAACAGTGAACGAAGCATATCTACTCAAGTTCAGTTTGCTTGTATCAGGAGCTGAAAAATAGAAGACCATCTCTTATGTAATTCAGATGGAAAAAGCTTTTATCTGGACTTGATTTCCATATCATGAACATTCCTACATATGATACAATTTCTGTTCTGAGTCACGAAAAATCTCCAGTCAGAAAACTGTTATTCAGTTACTGCAAATGACCAGCGTGAAAACAGAGTTAAAATCATGACTAAAACCATCAAAAGATTACAAAGATCCAAGTCAATCTGTCCTTATGGCAGCAGACACTGGACAGTGCAGACATTTAGACAGACACTGGTCACGTACTGGATGAACTCTATGAATGTACAATAACATCACTCACAGCTGTTTGTCCAGTAGCACTCAGCCAACACAGAATTTGTACCTCAACTCCTAGTAAACCTCAAACACTCAGAAAAGGTTGTTTGCTCACCTCAGCGACTCTGTCCGGTTGATCAGAGGCCGACAGGGTGGTGGTGGTGGTGAAATATATAAAAGTGGCTCTTCTGAGACTATCATTAGTGCTTTATTATCAGATACAGAACGATCATACCTGGGAAAAATAAAGAAAAGGATATCAAGAAATCCCTTAAAATACTTTTTTATGGACCTTTGACCAAATCCAAAGAATGAGCACTAACATCAGTAGACCCACAAATGTTATAGCTGCTCCCTTGGGACCTTTCAAACAGGTGAATAACAATTCCTATCAAACAGCCAATGTTCTCAGTCAATTCCTCAATGGGGTCTGACAGCACTCAACACAGGGAAGACAGTCGAGCATTAGCAGATGTTGGATCTCTTCCCATAAAGGCCAGATATTGAAAGAAAATGTAGCCTGTAAAATATTCCTCATAGTATGTAAACTATGTGATCTCTGCAGAGGCAACTTTCTTTTTCATTCCAGAGCTGTGCTACAGAAATACTAAATTTATTACTGACTAAAACCATGCAGATGTAAAGACCATGAGCTACATGACAATGGAGCAGCCATGAACTATATTACAACTGAATGGAGAGGACTTACATCTCCAAGTGTCTCCAGAATCTAGTTTGGTTTTGACAAAAAGTGAAAAGGAGCATCTATTTCTCAGTACAAAAATCCATAACACTCTCAGCACTTCTTGAGGGGTTAACTACTTATCACAATACCTATTGTAAGTTTCTCCCTTGATAAGTTATCAATGTAACAGCTTTAGTCCTCTAGGTTTTGATAGACTTGTAGCTCCTAAACTTCAACTTCTTTCGGAAAAATCAGGTGTAAGAGCTCATGAAAGCCTCATTTACATTCCCTTCCTTTTCCCATCTTTCTCTCCATCTTCATGTCTGCTTCTCCCGTCTACTGCATCTAGGACTGATAAAGGAGAATATGCAGCAAAGAGCTCACAGCTTGCCAAAATCAGGGTGAAAGAGTGAAAGAAAAGAAGGAGATACAGGCACATGAATATCCTCCTAAGAGAACTAGTCTACTCTTACATCACCTAAGTCATGGTCTGAAATGTACCACATAGGACACAAAGCCCTCACCATGGCTACAGCCTTAAAATGCTCTTGATTTATTGCCTTCTTTCTGCATGGCAAAATACATTAGGGCTTTCTGCACATCTGTGCCTGGCTTTGTTCAACCAGCCAAAACACTCTACTGGAAAGGGACAGTCTAATAGGATAAATCTTGTAAGGGGAAAACATGAGCTGTATTAGCCAGACTTCAATCTGGAGGCAATTATATGTTCACTTATGAACTGCATGCTAGAGATTTAGGAAGCCTGAAAGCCAGTATTTAATTAAATAATGCAAAAACACAAGGATGGACTCAGAGTTTTATAAAAATGTACAGTGCTAAGTTCAGAGTGTGTTCTTAATTGTGAACTTGCCCAGTCTTCTCTCCAGTAACTGAGAAAATAAATACTCCAGCTTGAAAAGTATGCAGATAGAGATAATATGACAAATATCAGAACTATGCAAGTTAAAATATAGATTAGAGGAAAAAAGCAGACAGATGAAGGACTGAAAAAGGTTCTGGAAGTCTCTGTGACATACACTTGTTTATGTGCTCTCTTCCCTAACACCATGCAGCACAGCCACGTGTACACTTCTGAAGCATTACATATTGGGTAATCTTGGAGATAAAATACCATATTTATTTGAAAAACAATCTGGTAAACTTTGTTAAATAATAAAAGACCAGCTTTCAAAACACTGTGTTTGTAAGCTCTGCTGCTCTATAAAAACAGCAACAGCACCGGGTAAAAAGGTCAGTAAGGCAGTGAGAGCTAAAAGCACCATTGCCCTCTGCCACTCAAAATATGTTAAAGGTTTTCATCTCACCTATTACTCTTCTCGGGAATGATGCCCTCAGGTATTTTCTGAGCTGCACTGGACTCCTGGCCAGCTGAGAACTCCAGAAGATTTCTGGTCCGGTGATTAGAACTCGCAGTGGAATCAACTCCACTGGGATCCTTTTCGAATATACTGGAAAACATAATAAACATAGCAAAATGTATCGTGCACATAAAGGCTCTGCAAGGCACTTGACTGTGAAGTGTTAAATATTCTCAGGTGGAGAAGCTTCTGGCTGTTGTTATGTTACACGAATAAGGTTCATATCGTATCTAATGTAAAAACTTGGTATCTTGTGTCACTGTAATACTGTCATTCAAAGCATTAGTGGACAAAAAAGCAATTCTTCAGTTTTAATTGAAGGATTTTGATGCTCTGTTTTTCATGTTCCCTCACATAAGCTTCACCTGATGAAACAAAGATCAATCTGCTTGTAACCCAGATCTGCAGGCATAATAAAATTATCTATATTCAAACAAACTTTTATCAGCCTTAAAGTACATTTGACGTGGTTTATATGAATACATTATGTAAGGAAAACTTAGCTACCAAATTCCGTGCAGCTGCAAGCCTGGAATGTTATGCCAGACATCTAACAAAACTGTACACAAACATGTATGTTCAATTCTAGTTGGATTTAGAACAACTGGCAGGGCTGACAGCCCCATCTACAAAGCAGCAGCAGGTCATGGTCCCAGACACCCTGTTGTTCCAGTGTGTGCCTGCATTGATTCAAGGATCCTTCCCTGGGGGCTGCTCATCCAGCCAGCCATGCAGCACAGGAACCTCTGTGCTGCTCTCCATGCAAAGCAAGGCAGCAGCACTGCACATGTGAGCTGGAAAAACGACCAGCCAACTGCTGTACAACATCGACTGCATCCGAGTTCAGAAGGGCGACTTGCAAGTGAGAAATCTTGAGAGCACAAAAGCAATCCTTCAATTTCTCCTCTCCCGAGGCTGCCTTTACATGGTTGCTTCCTGAAAAAAGTGTATTTACAAACCCAAGTCCTAACCTTCTTGGCTGACAACAGCAGAGCATCACCAGCAGCAACATGGTGAAAACACAAAAATACAAGCCCCCAGCGCACCAATGAGATCTTTGCCATACACGCTGACCACTGCCCACAGAGCACATTTTAATTCATGCCTCACTTCTCCTGTGCAGCAGAGCATAAACTCTGCAGGGGAATCTCTCATTTTCCTGGTTTTACATGGCATCACTTTGCAACAGGCAGCAAATATAAATGCCAACAAGAGACAGGCAAAAACTAGGAGAGGAAGATTAAATACTCCACAACTACGCAGAAGGCACACAGAGTTGCCTAACAACTTCACATCTTTTGCCAACACATTTGCACTCCTGTTCGTAGTAACCCAGGTGTCTCTGTGAATAATTCTGTCATATTCTGAACCACAGGAGTCAGGGCAATCCTAGACCCTGACTGACATCACTTTGGCTGCCTCATCTTCTCCAGGTTTCTAGGTAGCATCATTGAGCCAGGGGAGCAGAACTGCTACAGGTTCTGCTTTCCCCAGTACCAGTGGGCAGAAAAGTACTTACAGTTTCCTTACTGTCTATGTGCACTGATATCCAAATGTTTCATTCCTTCTACTGTATAGCATGGAAAGCTGGATGGTTTATTCATAACCTCGTATCAGGTAACACCAGGCTATCCAATTTAACAGAAGTCATCTCCACTATCTACTGGATTTTATGAGAACATGTTTCTTCTCTTCCAATGAAAGCATCAGCACAACTGGCAGCATCTCAAGCCCAGAACTAGAGCTCAAAACTAAGGCTGATGCTTAAACAGATGCCACACCTTCCTGCTGGAAGTTGCTCACGGTTGAAATGCCCCACTCTACCTAACCCGGAGTCATGACAGCTAAAAGGACATGGCAGTTTATTCATCAAACCAAGAATATCTGTCAGAAGATCTAAAAGTTGTAACTCTCCTGCAAACCCTTTCTCCACAGCCTGAAGTCTATCAGCCATCCAGTGTGGTGCCGAACCTACTGGATCTGGCATTTTGGTCTATCCTACCTCTCTCCTTTCCTGTTCAAAATGACACATCAAACCAGAGGAACTTTCCATGTAATTACTTAGCTAAAGCTGACAAAAATCTAAGCAGAAGATCTGTAACAAATTTGCATTTTTCCATGATGGTTCTTCCTTCCTATTTGCCTCATTCTGCAAAGGCGATTCTTATTTCAGGTTCCAGCTTGGCGAGGTGGCCAGTTTGAGGTGAAGTGTCACATGCAATACATTCCTACTCCAGTTCACCCTGAGCTCTGAACAACAGCAGAGAAATCCAAACCAAATTTGTCCAGGATAAAGACACCCACTGCTCTACAATCACAGCTAATCTTCAGTTTTTTTAATTTAGTTGTTTTAGCTCTACAGCCATTCAAAACCACACACACCTCATTTTATAGCATCAGATTTAGAAGAGAGGAAAAGTTTATTTTTACTCTTCTCAAGCTTAAAGCACCTTAATCTTTTCATCAAAATTAAAATTTCACTTTTGGCAGCAGCCAAGTATGGGATGTTTCAACATGAAAGAAGATATTTTCAGCAGCAAAAGACAAAGAAGGAAGTGAACAGAGTACATTTTGCCATCCTTACAGACAAACCATTACTCCCACTTCTGACAACACAGGCACCAACTGAGAACAAAATATGGCATTAGGGTATTTATTCAAATGATCTTTCCTTTTTTAGGATTGTTACTTTCCACAAAATGCTTCTTTTAAAGCAGGGCTAGCAGCAATTTCTGCCATAAGCCATATGGGCCACATTTGCCTTCCCTTTCCCATTCCTTTTTGTACCTTGAAGATGACCAAAAGTTTCCTTCTCAAAGTCTAAAATATGCCCTCAAAAAAATTAAAAATCCCCTTTCTTGCTCATTTGGTCTGTGGCAATGACCCAAACCCAAAATAACTAAGTCTGGATAAGGAAAAGCCCCACAACTTGAAATACTGCCCCTCTTCCACCTTCTAGTTACTTGGGTGGTTTTGTCAGTTTTTTTCCCCATCTGAATAGATGATGTTGTTCTGTTGTATCATTTCTTCCTCTTCCCTTCTCCCACGAGAGGTCACTAGTGAAGTTTGTCCATAAATAGGGCTCCATCTTCAGGAAGCAGATAGGAGAAGACATGGAGATAATGGTCTATATCCTCTGACTTCTCAAAGATCTTTCCTTACCAAGTGGGTTCATGACAGTCTGACAAAGGATATCAGAAATACTCCTTCTTTGAAATCTCAAATTAACACAGGGGCAAAAAGCATGACTTAGGACCAAGGAATCCCTTCAAGCAGCTGGGAGAGGATGGACCTCTCCTGCAGAACTGCATCTGGAAACACCGGTCCACCTGAGGCATACTGAGTTTTACAAGTGCCAGGCAGAACAGCAACAATACAAGCTGGAACAGGAAGGGTCTACAGAGCAGATCCCAACACCATGACACAGGAGATGAAGTCAATATTGGGCATTTAAAAACATCAGGTAGAAGAGGCTAGAAACCATAGAAAGAAAGGTAGAAGATCTCATTCAGAGGGAAAAAAAAGCTTCAGAAAAACAGTATTTTCAATTAAGATATCAATAGTTGCTCTAAGAACCGCTTTAATACGACAGATGGCAAAAGCACGGGCAGTTTTTTCATTCTGTTGGGCTACAAGATGAGAACCTGGAAAAGGAAAAGCACTTTGGCATATCTTCCCTGAGCAAGTCCTACTATTCAAAGGAGTTACTGCCCCACCTTAAAAGTCAAAGAAGACTGAAGCTGAAAAATGGTTTTACTGGACAAGTCGGCCAGGGTAGAAGTTGGAATCTTTCCTGTTTGGCCACACTTACACACCTGGGGTGTACCAAGGCTTTAGAGCCTGCATTTGGACATTCCAGACACCACGAGCATGAAAGGGTTTTCACAAGCCGCAAACACCATGTCCAAGCTGGCTGAGCTATCAGCTTGTTTCAGATGCAAAACCAGATCCAAGGGAAAAAAAGAAAGAACCACTAAATATTTCATGCAGATGTTTGTTCAGAAGTGTAGATAAATTTGATTATAGGAGGGAAAGAAAAGCAGCACCCCTGCCATGGCTTCTCCAGGCATTCAATGGCACCTGATATTTTAGCTGTATTTTTACTTCTTTGGTTCGAACGTCAGTTTGATAAATGTGAAAGCAAGTCTTGCCAGGAGCACGAACTAAATATTGCTTGTGCTTCTGGCTGTGCACTTCAAGTTTTGAATACTGACATTTAAGCTGTACAGTAATTCGTAGACGAAAGCCAATAGTGATATCATAACAAAGAGTTTTCTGGGGACAGAACCATCTCTGAGTATGAGTTGGGATGTTTCCAACAAGCTAAAGTTGACATTGCAAGGAGACACCAACCAAAGACCTTGTCCTCTTCCTAACCGACTCCAGACAAGGCTGCCACAGTGCCAGACACTCTCTGGAAAGTATTTCTTGTTTCTTATTCCCGATGAGTGTACCATCTGCCAAGAGCAAGGCTCTACCTTCCCCTGCCGGGCTGCTCCAGACCAACCCTCTCCAAGCACTGGGCTGGAAAGAGGAAGATGAGGAAAGCAACACAGAGTGGAGGAATGATCTCTGTGTTTTTTGTTGTGTTTTGCATGCTTTAAAAAGCAATTCATTTTTAATAAAGCTGCTGGAAAAGAAAGGAAGAAAGCAAATACTGACACCCAGAGCACTTCTCTTTTGCTTGGAAAACTCTATACCACTATCTGGAAGTGGGCTGGCCTTTGTTGCCAAAGCTTGTGGCTGTGATCAGCAAAGGAAGGAGGAATGAATCACTTCCTCCTCCTGCAGCTGTAGTTTGTAAAAAAACTTAAAGTATCCAATTTTATTCAAGCATCAACCCATCACAAGAGGTATTGAAAGGTCTGGAACTTGGACCTGAGTCCAATTTACTCAGCTTGTCCTTTTCCTCTCGACTCCTCTCTCTCTCTTCAAGGAGAAACTACAATACAGAAACAGTTTTCTAACTGTGGGCCATCTGCAACACAAATGTACACTCAGCACTGCAACATATTCTTTCAGTGTCACAAACATTAAACTAAGTTTCCCATATTACAAGTGTTCAGAGTCACAAATGCCTTCCGATGCTT